AGATTTACTGATCTCCACCTGAGTTCCATACATTATATGGAATAATGCAATTTGTAGGGGTTAGCCTGGCGCATGATGCATATGACACACGTGGAAAACCATCACCATTCATTAGAGTATCCAAACCAAATTGAGCGTTCCATTCATCCCACCTATACATGGAAATTCCTGTGCTATTTATGGCATAGAATGTGAATTCTCTCCCTGAGGGACACATCCTGCTTACCTAATTCTGGAGAGTATTAGATTCAAATTTGCAAGACAAAGATTTGAGGAACCCAGAGGTTAGGTCTTTGGGTTGCAGGTTAAACAGGAGCTATGTGGGAAGAGTCTCTCTCTGCAGTCTGCCCTTCCAAGTCCTGCTGATGAGCCAGGCTAGCTGGGCTGTCATCAGCAGTGCTCTAGAGTACTGCGAACTCGCCTGGCTTTGGAACTGGATTAGGTTGTGTCTGACTAATAAGACCATAAGACACAGGAGCAGGAGTAGGCCATTCAGTCCCTCGAGCCTACCCGCCATTTAATAAGATCATGGCTGATCTTCTAACCTAATTCCATTTACGTGCCCTATTCACATTATCCCTTAATCCCTTTATCCTTTAGAAATCTATCAAACTCAGTCTTTAATATGTTCAAGGACTGAGCATCCACAGCTTCTGGGGTAGAGAATTCCACAAATTCACTACCTTCTGAGTGAAGAAATGTTTCCTCACAGTATTCTAGGTGCGGTCTCACCAAGACCTTATACAACTGCAGCAAGACTTCCCTACTCTTGTACCCTAAACGTTTGCAACAAACGCAGCATGGCATTAGTCTTCCTAGTTGCTTGCTGTACCTGCATACTAACTTTTTGTGACTGGTGTACAAGGACACCCAAATCCCTCTGAACACTAACACTACCTAGTCTCTCCCCCTCCAGAAAATAATTCACTTTTCTATTTTTACTACTTAGGTGAATAACTTCACACTTTCCCACGTTATACTCCGTCTGCCACTTCTTGCTCACTCACCTAGCCTGTCTATTTCCCTTTGCATTCCTTTTGTGTCATCCTCACAGCTTCCTCTCCTTACTGTCTTTGTATCATCTGTGAATTTAAATATGTTAAGTTCTATTTCTTCATCTGTATCATTGATATAGACTGTAAATAATTGAGGCCCAAGCACTGATCCTTGTGGCACTCCACTAGTCACATCCTACAATCTGAGAAGGACCCGTTTATCCCTACTCTCTGTTTTCTTGCTCTTAGCATGGATTGGAGAGTGGCTAATATATTACCTTTAATTCCATGGGCTCTAATCTCATGCAACAGCCTTTTATGTAGCACCTTTTCAATTGCCTTCTGGAAATCTAAATACACCACATCTACTGGATCCCCCTATCTAACCTGCTAGTTACATCCTCAAAAACTCTATAAGATTTGTTAAACATGATTTCCCTTTTGTAAAGCCATGCTGACTCTGCCTAATCATGTTATGATTTTCTAAGTGCCCACGACGACCTGCCTAATTAAGGACTCTAGAATTTTCCCTACCACCGATGTCAGATTAACTGGTCTATAGTTCTCCATTTTTTGTCTCCCACCCTTCTTAAACAGTGGCGTTATGTTTGCGACCTTCCAATCAGTGGGAACCGTTCCAGAATCCAGGAAATTTTGGAAGATCAAAAACAAAGCATCCACTATCTCTGCAGCCACCTCTTTTAAAACCCTAGGATGCAGGCCATCAGGTCCAGGGGATTTATTTGTTTCTAATCCTATCGATTTCTCTAGTACTATTGCTTCACTGATGTTCATTTCTTTAAGTTCCTCACTAACATTAGCCTCCAGGTTCCCCTTTATTTTCGGTAAGTTTTCAGTGTCCTCTAACGTGAAGGCAGAAGCAAAATAATTGTTTAATGACTCTGCAATTTCTTTATTTTCCGTTATAATTTCTCCTGTCTGCCTACAATGGACCTACATTCACTTTTGATAGTCTCTTCCTCTTTATGTATTTGTAAAAACTCTTACAATCTGTCTTTATGTTCCTAGCTATTCCATTTTCTCCCTCTTAATCAGTTTCTTGGTTTTCCTTTGCTGATCTCTAAAGCCCTCCCAATCCTCAGGTTCACTGCTCTTTTTGGCAGTATTATAGGTCTCTTCTTTTAATTTTATACTTTCCCTAACTTCTCTAGTTAACCAAGGTTGAACCACATTTGCATGGTATTTTTATTTTTCGAGGGAATATGTGATCGCTGGGAATTATTTATTATATCTTTAAACATTTGCCATTGCAGGTCTACTGTAATATTTTGTAATCTAATTTCCCAGTCTATTTTAGCCAAATCTTCTCTTCACACCTGCAAAGTTGGCTTTATTTAAATTTAAGACCCTTACTTCGGATTCAACTATATCACTCTAACTTAATGTTAAATTCCATCATGTTATGGTCACTCGAGAGGAGCCTTAACTTCCAGATTGCTGATTAGTCCAAATTTCTTCTAACCTCATAATTATCCCACCTTAGCACCAATTTTCCCAACTGAAGGAAATGCACCAACTGGTTGCAATTGAGGTCTGCACAGACTGGTGGTCACCATTTGAATTTACAGCTAGGAATTTTAATTAATTACTGGTAAAATATAAGGCTGCAGTATCCAGTCTCTTGTTTCAGAATTGATATTGTGCACCCTCACATGAAGCTGTTTTGGTGGAAGACATGAGTGGAGTCCTGTAGCTCAGTGGTGAGAGTACTCGCTTTGCAAGCGAAAGATCTGGGTTTGATTCCCAGCAGGGTGAAACCTTGGGCAAGTTTCCTTACTCCACATGTCTGATTATGATCCCTCAAAAAAAAATTGATCATTTCAATCCACGACTGTTTGTGCAGCATTTAGCCCACAAATATACAGTCAATTCACTTTACAGTTTATTCTGTGAAGCGCTTTGAGACGTCTAGAAGATGTGAAAAGCGCTATATCAAATACAAAGATCATTATTATTATGAATATTTGATATTGAATAATGTGAACGTTAGTTGTAAACTTAGACTTTAAGAATGTAAATTTCAGCTTTGAAATAAATTTGAATAATTTAAGTTATCTTTTCTACTCCCAACTAAATGAGCGACAGCAGAATTCATACATTATGGAATGAGAAAAGGCCACTCATCCTATCTCCTTTTCCAGACCACACAAAACCATCTGTAACACATATAAAGATGTGTAAGCTTCATATTAGAAGAAAAATTTACAATTTAAAAAAAATCTTTACTCCAGTAGAAGCAGGTCGAATTTGTGCTAATGGGCTATTCAGCTTATTGATTTCTCTTCGAGACTTAAGATTGATTCAACAAATTATTGTCAAATTTTCTATCTTTATCTTCCTCATCAAAAAACTGAGTTGTTTTTGAAAATTGGCATTCTTGAAATTGTAAGTACTACTGCATTTTGAGCATTGATTCAAAAACAGGAAAAAAGAGGAACTCACTTATCCCATCTAATAATTATAACTTAAATAATTATAATTATAACAAAAGATTCATTACCTCAATAGATTTAAAGACAGAATTGGAAGACGTTATAATAATTAATGATAATAATAATCCTTGTGCCTTATCATTTTTTAAAAAAAATTAATTTCTTGGAATTTTAAAACGTTTACTTTTTTTAATGAATCGTTGTACATATCCAGTCATAGATTTCGAGCTTGTGCAAATTAAAAACTGAATGTATTAATGTTGTATACAATTTAATTATTTTCCATCCTGTCATTTTCAAGTAACATTACAGGGCATTGTTGCTGAATACCAAATTCTCTTGTCAATGGAAGAGAAGGTCACACTTGTACTAACGATGAATGATATTGAGTCACAATGTATTTGTGTGTAAAGTGTGATTGTTGTAAGCACTTTAACAGTTTACTGGGCTTGCTTATGTTATGCTGGTTAGCAGCAAGTACATATGTTCTAGAAATAAACCTTTTAGAAAATGGACTGCTTCTGCCTCTGTTGTATCCTGAGACATTCATTTCAACTTAGATTCATCTGTAGTATCTAAGTAGATTCTTGTAAATGCCTACTATTTAATTTGATGCATCATAATCATTCGTTAACGAAAACAAATTTCAAAGATGTTTGCTCATAATTTAACATGCCTAGATGTTTGGTTTAAACTCATTTATGGCGTAATTGGTTGCACTCTCATTACTAAGTCAAACGTTTGTAGGTTTAATCCCAACATTGGGGCTTCAGACTCAACCTCTTGTCTGACATCCCAATACAATGCTTGGGGTACATTGCATTGTCATGTAAATGTTAAATTGAGATATTGTCTGTCAGGCACTGTTCAAAAAGATAAGGGAGTTTCTCCCATTGTCATGGTTGGCAATCCACATATTAAAATTGGTGAAGTGCTTTGAGATGAAGCGCTGATGAAGGGTTGTGGACCCGAAACGTTGACTCGCTTTACTTTCTCCATAGATACTGCCTGACCTATTGAGTGTTCCCAGTGACTTCTGTTTTTGTAATGAAATTGGTTGTTCACTTCATGGGTGTTGTGGGGTGTTGATGAGGGAACATTATCTACCATGTTTGCCTACAAATACACAGTCACTGCACAGTAAAATTTGCTTTGAGCTGTCTCAACAATGTGATAATGGTGCTACATAATAATAGTAATAATCCTTGCATTTGATATAGCGATTCTGTGAAGACCTGAAAAGCGCTATATCAAATGCAAGTATTATCAAGTCTTCAAGATGTCTCAAAGTGTTTCACAGAATATACTGTAAAATGAATTGACTGTATATTTTGTGGGCAAAATGCAGCAGCCAATTGCGCCCAGTAGTGTCCCACAAACATCGTGGATTGAAGTGACCAATTTATTATTTTTAAGGAATTATTACACATGGAAAAGTGATTCACTAATCGACTAACAGCAGGGTTCCTACTTACTGCTAGTTAAATAGAGGTGTTATATTATTTTTATTATTTCTGTTGACCCAGGACTTGTATTTTGTTTCCTTCTCCAGATCTGATTGCCGATCCAGATGAATTAACAAATGTAGCTACAAAATATCCAGAAGTTACAAACATTCTGGATGGGAAGCTTCATTCAATATTAAACTACCCAGAGGTATCCAAAAGTGTTCATCGATACAACAAACTACAGTTCACCAATTGGAAAGAAAGTGTAGGAGAGAATTATACAAATGTGATTGCCAACCTCAGATGGCACCAGGACTGGCAAAAGGATCCCATGACCTATCAAAATGCTATTGAACAGTGGCTTTGTTTTGGTACTGACGCATACGGGTCTCAATTTTAATGTGTATTCTCAACTGATTGCAAAATCTACATTTAAATGTACTTCTCATAGAGGCATTGTTTTTAGAAATTTAAGGTTGTGGGTCTATTATGAGTGAGTTTATTGCAGGCAATAAAACATGGTCAATAGCTCAATGCCAAAATGTGACAATTATATTATAGTTAATCAATAGCAATGTTTGGGTCTGACATTTGGTAATTTTTGCACCAGACCAGCCAGCAACCTATTTTATTTTATTGTACAATCATTTGACAGTTAGTGATGAAATCTATATGAACAGCCAGACCAATGTCTAACTACCCTATCCCTGCTTTTAAAAGCAAATACTGGATTTTAAAAATAAAAAGTTAAAAGGATATAGGAAAAGAGCAGGGAAGGAAGACTAAATAGATAGTTCTTTCAGAAATCTAGCCTAGGCACAGTGGACCAATTGGTTCTCTGATATGAAGTTCTGTGATTATGTTTTCCACCCTCCTTTATTCGTCTTGCTTCATTATGTGTATGTATGTGTGTGTATATATATATATTTTGCTCTTTTTAAAGCGATGGAAACAAAACAAAATAATTCATTCCAATTTTTATTTTCAAATGGAGGTAAAGAAAGGACATTTAACTAGTCACTAGATTCCACAGTTTCTCCCACACAAGCTGCAGACCATTCCACAGCTCTGTAGTCTGTATCTTCTCCTACATCAAGCTCAGTGAGTCTATCATCCCCATCCTCTCTCACCTGCACTTTCTCCACATTCAAATTCAAGATCCTCATCCTCGCATTCAAATCATTCCTTGGCCTCACCCCATCCTACCTCTGCAATCTCCTGCAACCCTACCATCCTAGCTGTTCCCTTCAATCAGCAAACACTGGCCTGCTTCATTGTGCTGTTGGAGGTGCAATGAGGAAAAGCTGCAACATCTCCATATAAGATTGGGAGAACACAGCAGGAAAATTAGAAATGGTATTCTCTAGTACATTCTGAACGTTTTTCTTATTGGCATTGAATATGCTCTGGTAACAGGCTCACTGACTGTTCTTTCAGCAGCAGAGAGGTTTTGACTTGATAAACCAAACAGAGGAGACACTTTTGAAGAAAAAAATATAAATTGAATATACTACTGCTGCACTTAATCTTGTTTGTTTGTGTTATGATTAGAGCAATAATTTAATTGTATGATATTTGAATATAATTACTATGCAATTTCCTCCTTTGTATTTTAAAGCATATAAAAAGTATTTCCAAATCATTGGTGAGACCATACTTATAGTACTATGAACAGTTCTGGTCGCTACAGAACAAAAAGGATATTCGAGAAATCAAGAAAATATAGAGAAGGGCAACCAAAATGATGGACGGACTGGACTGTGAGGAGTGACTAAGTAAATTGGGCATGTTCACGCTGGAAAAGAGAAGATTGAGAGACAACATGATTGCTGTCTTTAAGATTCTAAAGTGGCTAGACAATATAGATCTTGACAGGCTATTTCACCTTGTCCAGAATAGTAAATCCACAGCACACGGCCTGAGATTGAAGGGGAAATTCAGAACAAATCTACGCAAACACTATTTCAGTGAACCAGTGGAACAGGCTACCTAAGGAGACGGTTGAAGCAGTAAGTGTTGATTCTTTCAAACACAGATTAGTTTTCTTTCAGGAAATAAGATTATGGAATATAATACATAGGTAGTTTGGGACATATGTGCATGCAACTGCCAGGAAGATGGAAGGCGAACTAGATGGAGCTTGGTCTTCTTTCGTCCAGCGTTTCTTATGTTCTCTTTAAATCTGCAGGATGTTCATTAAAATCAGCATTAAAGAGTATACAGGGTGAGGGACGCTTTGTTTTTGAGGATGTCTAATAAAAACAGGATTAATCTTGTCTATAATGCTAAGTGGTTGAATAGCCTTATATTTATTGTTTAGTCTGATTATAAAGAATGCATAGCAAGCGCTGCTAGCCAAATGGAGGGACCAAGCAGATTGGTGGGATTGGAGATCAGAGAGATAGGGAGGGGCTACGGTATTGTCACGGTATCTTATCTCTGGGTGAGAATTACCTGCTTGGCTGCAACAGCCCCCCCATGTCCCCTTTCACCTCACCCAGACCATCCACACTGCCTTCTCCCTCTGCCTTGGCTCCTGCCACTCCCCCCTCCTTACATTCCTTTGTCTCCATTTCTCCCTCCCTCTCAACTACAATCACTGGGATCAAGTTCACCACCTGCTGCCTCGATACCCTCCCCACCCAGTGCTGGTCACTCAACTCCCCCTTCTCTCCTCCCTGCTGACTGACACAGTCAACCAGTCTCTCCTCAGCCTCTGCTCCACGCCCACTGAAAACCACTGTTATCACACCCTTCTTCAAAAAAACCATCCCTCTAATCTCTCACACTACCATCCCATCTCCAACCTACCCTTCCTTACCAAAGTCCTGGAACGCATTGTTGTAGGAACTTCAGTCACACCTCTTTTTTCACTCCTTCCTTGAGCCCCTGCAATCTGGTTTTCGCCCTGCCCACTGCATGGAGACAGAGCTTGTCAAAGTCACAAACAACATCCTCTCTATCTGTGACCAGGGTTCCCTCTGCCTCCTAGTCCTCTTGGATCTCTGCCGCATTCGACACGGTCGACCACACCATCCTCCTCCACTGCCTCTCCTCCCTCATCCACGTTAGTGGGACCGCACTTGCATGGTTTGAGTCCTACTTAACCAACTGCCTCCATTTCATCTCGGCAAATGGTTTCTCCTCCCGCCCCTGCCCGGTCACCTGTGGGATACCCCAGGGCTCCATCCTTGGCCGTTTTTTTTTCTTTATCTATATGCTCCCTCTGGGCGATGTAATCCGCAGACACGAGGTAAACTTCCACATGTATGCAGATGACACACAAATCTACTTTGCCTCCTCCAGTACCAACTCCAGGTCCCCGATGTTCTATCAGCTTGTCTGGCAGACATTATGGCCTGGATGAGTGCAAACATCCTGCAGCTGAATTTGGACAAGATGGAAGCCATACTCCTGGGCTCCTGTCAACGTCTTCATTCCTGCAGATCTAAACTCCTCAATCTCCCTGGGCTTTCCCTCAGATTCACTGAACCAGTGCGCAATCCAGGTGTCCAGTTCAACCCCAGCTGTCCTTCCATCCCCAGAACCGGTCGCTGACCAAGACCGCCTTCTTCCACGTCTGCCACATTGCCCGACTCCGACCATAACTTACCCCAAATGTCGCCGAAACCCTCGTGCATGGTTTGTCACCTCCCGCCTGGATTACTCAAATACACTCCTTGCCGGTCTCCCCAGCTCGACTATTCAAAAGATCCAGCTTATTCAGAACTGTGAAGTTGTGGAGTCCTGTAGCTCAGTGGTTAGAGCACTCACTTTGCAAGTGAGAGACCTGAGCTCAATTCCAGGCAGGGCGAAACCTTGGGCAAGTTTCCTTACTCCACACACCTAATAATAATCCCTCCGAAACCAAAAACAATAATAAATTGGTCATTTTCAATCTACGACTGTTTGTGGGACATTACTGTGCGCAATTGGCTGCCGCGTTCGCCCACAAATATACAGTCAATTCACTTTACAGTGTGTTCTGTGAAGCGCTTTGGGACATCCTCCCGACGTGAAAAGCGCTATATCAAATGCAAGGATTATTATTATTATTAACTCTGCCGCCTGCACACTTAACCGGAACAAACTCCATACCCACCCACATCTCACCAGTTCTGGCCAGGCTCCACTGGCTCCCAATCACCGAACGGATCGACTTCAAGATCCTCACACTCGTATTCAAATCCATTCCCTCTCTGGCACCTCCCTACATCTCCGACCTCCTCACTCCCAAATCCACCACCCAGCAACTCTGCTCGCCTGGCACCGGCCTCCTGTTCGTCCCTAGCATCCTCCGCCCCACCATCGGAGGTCACGCTTTCAGCCACTATGCCCCAAAACTCTGGAACACTCCCTTATTCCCTCCACCTTGCCCCCTCCCCTTTTTTGAATCCCACCTGAAAACCTTTCTCTTCGAACGTACTTCCGGCCACCTCTCCCCCACCTTCCCCAGCTCGGAATCAGACATTGTTAAGCACTCTGAGATGTGGAGGGTGCTACATAAATGAAAGTTATAAAATGAATGATGATAAAGTTGTCAATAAATAATTTATTTATTCAAACCCATATACTTCAATATATATTCCTGCATTCGGAGCATTCAAGGCACAAATAAAACACAATTCTTATACAATACTTTGATAATACTATATTAATATAACTAACAAGACATATAACAACAACATTACATGTGTATAGCACCTTTCACGTCAGGAGGATGTCCCCAGGCGCTGGACAATCAGTGTTTTGGACCCAAGCTGGTGGTCGGGATTGGAGAGGGTGGAGAGCAGGTGGGGGAAGGAGGGTGACCGAAGGCACGGTCGAAGAGAAGTGTCTTGAGATGGGACTTGAAGGAGGTAAGGCAGGGGGCGAGGCAGAGGGACTGCGGGATGGAGTTCCAGAGGTTGGGGGCAGAGTGGCAGAAGGCCTGCCCGCCAATGGTGGAGTTCTGGATGATTTGTAGCCTATGGTGGAAGGAGTTGGGGATCTTATATCTTACACTTTATAAGATAACTAACCACTGAGCCTCAAAATTGGACCACCACTGGTAAACAATTAGAATAATCTCAGCCCAAATTAGCATCTCTTATAAGTTCCTGAAATTCAACAACAACAAAAAAAATTACATTTATAGAGTGCCTTTCACGTCGGGAGGACATCCCTAGAGTTTTTATAATTATAATTCAGAGTTTTTATAATTAGTGACATTGAAGGCAAAATGTTAGTTAAAACTCCAAAACTCAACTATTCTCCACTCCCTCTCTTTTATACCTTAAATGTGCCCGTGTGACTTTTTTACCCAATCCATACTTTGACAAACTCAACTCCTAACTGACTAAGAATTACATCCTTCAATTAATCCTTCATACTTTGACAGTTCGAAAACATAAACTTGTTAACTCAACTATTGTCCAGACTAAAAGACTTCCAACAGGACATAAAACCTATTAACTCACAAAATCTAACAAAAAAGCCATAAATTGAAAGCATCTAACCAACATTTTTACACCTTAAGAGAGAGAAACAGATTGATAATCTCAAACTAATAAATTCAACAGACTATCTGGCTCTGAACACCTGTGACCTCTCTCCATGACCTAAATATTCACCCTATTTCGATTAACCCATAACTACCTCAGCATGAAGGAAATTTTAAGTGAAGATTAGGATCTTGAAATCGATCTGCTGGGTGACAGAAAGCCAGTGACATTTTTGTGAAGACTGGGATGATGGACATCAATAGTTTGGTTGTGGGCGGTAGAGTATACAAGTCAAAAGTTGTGTTTTAGTCCTCACACTTTGTCAATACTACATTTGTACTGGATCCCAGCTGCAATACATTTTGGAAAGGATAGTATTCAATTTTGAATCCTAGAAGACGACATTAAAATGTAATGGTATTTGTGAAAATACATTAAAAAAAATCCATGTTCACTTTT